GCAGTTCCTGCTGGAAGGTGTACTGGGGTCCCTTTTCCCTGCATGGATGTTTGTACATCTCCAAAGAGGGATCTCTCATCAAAATGAATCGCCTTGGGCTGGATTATAGCCTCTTTATCCCAGCATAATGTATAGGAAATCCCAAAAGCAGCCCTGAAGGGGGTTTGCCCATGAGAGCTTATTCGTACTTAAAGGTTGTATTCATTCAGCTACTTCTGCATCCATTTTTAGTGAAGGTCAGTGCAGCTTTAGGGACAGTGGAGGCTCTGTGGGGAGGAAGGCTGTGTGGTTCTTTGTCTTCCCATTAACTCATCTGCTTGGGAATTGCAGCCCTTTAATTAAACCAGTGCAGTACGGACTGGCCCTGAGGTGCTATTCTAAGACCGTTGCACTCACATCTGCTTTGGGGTAAAACTTGGCCTCTTTGAGGTTAGCTTGCGCTATTGTGTGCCTAAAAGCGGGAAGAAGCAGAGAATCAATCACTGGGGCTCCATCCCCATCCAGCATCGGAGGGCTGTGCAGTGTGTTTTACCTTCCCCTCGCTCCTAGCAGGGAGCACAGCAGCAAACCCCGGGCGTGCAATCGGCGCAGACCGCTGGAGCGCGCATCCCCCTTCCTGGGGGATGCAGGGAGTTGCACGGCACATGGATTTCATTAGGCAGCATATGGAGAGCTAAGGCAGGCGCTGGGCTCTGCTCAGAGCCACCACTGAGAGCTGGAGGGCGGTGACGACAGCCTGAGCCGCTGCCTGTTGTTGTTGAAGTTGAGCTTCCCCACCACCATCACCATCACCACCGGCTCCCTTTGCCTCCCTTTGCGTTTTGCTCAGTCAGTAAAGGGCTGAGTGTGAGCTCCTGCAGAAGGGGTGGGCAGGCAGGCTGTGATCCGTGTGCATCGTCTGGTGGGTTTGTCCATGTGGCGTTTCTTTGGGTTGAAAGCAGGAAAACTGACCTACAAGGAAGCAGGAGAGGAGCTTTGTACGTGGCACCTAGTGAAAGGACAAGGGGTGATGGCTTTAAACTGACAAAGGGTTGATTTAGATTAGATATTAGGAAATTCTTCACTATGAGGGTGCTGATGCGCTGGCACAGGGTGCCCAGAGAAGCTGTGGCTGCCCCATTCCTGGCAGTGCTCAAGGCCAGGTTGGACACAGGGGCTTGGAGCAAGCTGCTCTAGTGGAAGGTGTCCCTGCCTGTGGCAGGGGATCGGAACTGGACGAGCTTAAGGTCACTTCCAACCCAAACTAGTCTGAGATTCTATGATGTACATTGCTGGCAGTGCATACAACAGCCAAAAGGACATGAAGACTGGCAGGGAGCAGTTGTTAACTTATGTTTTGGGTTTGATTTGGTTTCCCCTCCTTGGGGACCTTGGAGAGCTGTTTATCAGATAGCAGAGTGAAAGATGTTCAAGCTGTGTTCTAAAACCTGTAGCATCCATTGCAGATACAGTGGAAGCGCCGAAGAAGGTGGTAGGTTCACATAAAACCCTCCCTTCTACCTTCCTGAGGTGCTGGGACAATGAACAAGGATGTTTAAGGATTGTGCTGTCCTTGCTAAAAGCAAACTGGCCACCCTTAGCCAGGCTGGCCCTGAGCACAGAAAGCCGCGTATCCGCACTGCTGACCCTGGAAACAAAGGATCCTCCTGAACCCAAACATGTTTGTGTTAATCCCGGCTGCTTCCTGGCGGCCAGCGAGAGGAAACGGAGCCACTACCTCGAACAGATGTACAGTGAGGAGATTACAGTGTGCGATTAAACACCCTCTCCATCACATCCTCCTCTCTGCTGTCCCAGCACGGCCCATTGATGGACTGTCCCAGGCTGCCTGCCAAGCTTGGGCAGATGTAACAGGCAGCAGATGCTTCATCTCCTGCATCCGTGCCTGGTTTGGAGCCCTTGCCCCAAAAGCATGAGCTGCATCAGCTGTACCTGCCTCTGAGGCTGGGGAAAGGCAGGAGAAACACATGCAATTCCCACCATCCAGACATGGTGGATTTACCTGGAAAGCTGTTAAAACTAAACCATGCTTTCCCCAAGGGTCTGTGAATGGACAAGGTGCTGAAGTTGGGCAGGGGGTTTGTGTTGGTGTGTTGGCTTGTTTTGTGGCTGCTGCACTTGGAGTGGATGATTTCAGGGCTCATTCCCTCTTTGTGTTGGTTTAAGGCACTGCCTTATACTGGAGTAGCCAGTCCTAATGCCAAGTGCTGCTCTTACAATGCAAATAATCCAAGCTGCTTGCAAGCAGTCGCTGTCCTTGCTGTGTGTTAGGTTAATGAATATGGTAATGGCAGAGTGTGTTTCTTTATCAAATGAAAAGCTGTTTCTGAAACAAAAGAAGCCCTTTGGAAATTGCAGAGATCACAGTGGTCACATGTGAGATGTGCAAAACCCCCATCAGGCAAAGTGGGGTGGGTTCGACTGGGAGTGAAAACTAAAGTCACTCTGCTGTTCGTGGAGGAGAGCCGTGACCTTGGTTCTAGCGCTGCAGCCTTTGATCCGTGGGCTTCCTCCCTGCTTTTGTGTGAAGGGGTCCAGCACAGCTTCCTGTAAGTGCCAACAATGTGCCATTGTCTGGGGTAGAACAAGGGGAGAAGTGGCATTTTGTTCTGCTCATGGCACATGTATTGTCCGGTCCTCTGCTCTGGAGAGGATGTGGCTCGGTCAGAGGCAGCACCAAGTGATGCTCGGAGTCGGGAAGCCACGGGGACATCTCCATGGGGTGCATTGGAACAGGCAGAGCTGCCTGTGGGCTTTGCAGCTCCTCGTGGCCAACATATCTTGGAAAGGATCCCAGGAATGTGCACAGCTGCTGTGGCACTTGCTGTGCAGGAGTCACAGTAAGGAGGAGAACCGGATACCTGCTATCCCACACCATCCCATCGCGTCTGGGAATCTGCATTGCTGTGCCTCTTCCCTTTCTCCTTGCCTGCACTGAAATCCCTTTTCCTGAGTGCAAGAGACAACTGTTTGGCGACTGACAGCAGCCTTAGCTCAAGGGAGAGCATTGTGCTTAATGCTGCAGTGGGCAAAGCAAGGGTGGTGGCAGTAGCAAAAGGGAATGGCTTGGTAAGAAAGTCTTAAGTGGCACCATCTGCTTCCAAAGGGCATCGTTTCTAGTTCAGCAGCAAAGGTGGCTCCTGGAGTTCAGTAATTGGGAATAGTAGGCTCCTGGCTGGAATGTGTGCCAACCCTTCTGGCAAAAAGCTGTTCAGTCTTTGCTGCTGGCATGTGAACGTGGGTCTGTGTAGCAGGGCTCCAAGGACTGGGTTTAACCCTTGATGGACTTACAACTTACCCAAAGCCTTACAGCACTTCTGATCTTGAATGGCGTGTGGCCATGTGTTGAGAGTGAAAGGGGAAGGTGGGTCCTCATTGAGGTACGTGAGCAGCTCCAGGTCTGATAACAGCCAGATGTGACCTGCCAACAGCACACACAAAATGGTGCCTGTTCTAACAGCTTTAGCAGGAAAACACAGGGTATGATGTATGATTTATGAGGATCAATAGGACTGTGGTGTTTACTGCCCCTTAAAGCCAGTGCTGGCCTGCCAAAGGGTGTGTTTGCAAAGTGAGTGATCCCAAAATCCTCTGCTGAGCTTTCAGGACACGGTCACACACTTGGCTCTCATCTTACTGTAGCCTTTACCGTGCAGTCTGCAGCCATGTGCAGTTTACCAGCCAGGATGAGGAGCCTTTAATTCTGCAAATGAAAGCACGAGCTCTTACCCATCTCCCAGCGAGCACAACTACAAACAAGGCAGTATTGTGCACCATCTCCTAGGGGTGGCTTCCTTGGAAGCTTTGGTCTTCATCCTGTTTGTCCAATTTGTGATCAAAAGAGTGTGGCTGCCTACGTGTGTCTTTAAGCAGTTACTTCTGCCTCATACAAATGCCCAATTTCTTCATTAAAATAAAATGAAGGTCATGCAATCAAGTAAGATCTGTTCCTGCAGACATTAGCTTTCAGTAATAGTGTGAGCAGAGCTCTTTTGGGACCTTCTTTGGTGTGGAAGGGAAGAGGATGCTCCACCACCAGCTGGGTTTTCCTGCCAAGGGGGAGAGCAAGTTGGATTGGGAAGCCTGAGCCCCAGCCATGCTGGAGATGAAACAGTTGGATTGTGAAGCGTGTACTTTCTTCCAAGTTTGATCTGGATGTTTTTTAATCTTCCTCAAATTAAAAGGGGAAAAATAAATCTCTTGTTTGACCCAAAACAAAATGATGTTTTCTTTGGCCAACCAACTGAACAAGCCAACTTCTCCCCAGTGTTAGGCCAAGTCCCCTTGCCAATAGTGCCTCCCCAGCCCTCCTGCTCCACACAGCTTTACCAGTCCTGGATTAGAGCCTTGTTGCGAAAGAGTTTACAAGAACAGGGGAATTCAGTCCCTTGCTGTAAGCTTAGTTCAGCAATTCGGGTTAAACTTGTAAATATTGGTTCATATTCCACCTCTGTTTATAGATATTTGTCACATCCTGCCTTTTAAAGCTATTTACTTCTGTAAAGTGCTTTATTTGGGGGGGGGGGGGGGGTTACAAAGCATGATATGGCTACTTTGTTTGTGTGCATGGTGAAGCAGAGGTTTTGATGCAGCTGCAAGGGTTTCCATCGCCTGCTCAACTAAAGCCCTTTAAATGAAGGTGAAGGATTTTGGTCAGGAAACAATGAATCTGATGTCCTTTAGCACCACGTTTTTATCTTTGCAGTCTCCTTTTGGAAGTAGCTGGTGAAATTGGTAGCAATTCCATGAGTTTTAGGTGAACTGAATGGACTTATTTTGTACCTGTGTGTTTGTGCCTAGGAAAAACCCTTGGCTCCCATTATTTGATGGACTTATTCTGGTCCCTGGTGGAGAATAGACCTCTATAGCAAACTGTCAGCCCCATCCTCCCCTGATATCCTGTAGCTTGGTGGAAGAAGAGAGTGGAGTTTTCCCAGTTCCTAATGCTGTTAATGGTGTGCTGGGTCTTCTCTTCCTTTAATGCTTGTTATCCTCATCAGGAAACATGTCGGAATTGCCAAGTGCTGTGGAAGGAGCACATGAACCTCACCTGCGAGCAGCTGGCTGAGAAGGATGAAATCAAATACAGGACATCTGTGTAAGTAAACTCCACAACCAAGCAAAAACAGGGGGTGGATGAACCCCCAATACACTCTGGTGCGGAGGGGGTGAGGAGCCCCTCTGTTCTTGTAGCTGGCAGAGGCCCTCAAGTCCTGCTGGGTATCCTTCCACCAGGGAGGTCCTAGGGATGTCAAAGCCAAGCAGTCAGAAGGCTCCCAGGATAGGATTTCTTTCTGTGGAATATACTTGGCAGCGGATCCAGCAGGTAATGAGAGAACGTGGGAGAGCTGTCACCAGACCAGCCTGCTCCTCTGGCTTAGCCCAGTGTCTCTTAGTCCTCAGAGGTGAGAAAACCCCATTAGTGTTGCTTCAGGGGGAGAAGGGAGATGTTGCACCGAGACAGAGAAGTATATTGAGTCACAGTAAGTTGTGATTGCCCTTTGAGATTCCTGAGAGGAGATGATGTGTGGATTGCTCAGCTCCTGCTTTCTGCCTTTGTGGGAGGAGATGTGTTTTCTTACAGAAGCTTGTCTCTGTTTCGGGCTGGTTGGTAGGGATTGTTACAGAATGGAACCATGTTTTCAGGTGTCAATCCCGAGTGCCTCCCTAGAGTCTCTTGAAGTTTGATCACTCTCATTGCTACAGGAAACGACAAAATCCTCTGCCTTTAGGGAATAAGGGACGGAGCAGTCAAACGGGACTTGCCCACATTGCCTAATCCTTTCTGATTTAGAGTCTGTCTGGCATGAGTAGGGGTTGGAAAGCCTCACCACTGGGAGGCTGAATGACTCTTGCTTGCTCATCCCGCAATCCCTAATTCAGAACAAAACCTTTACACATTTGATGCTACTCCTTTTCCCTGCCACTCCTTTCCCTGTAGGAAAGAGGAGTGAGGAGGAGCGAGTTGTCGTGTCCCTAATAAGGAGAAGCACCAGTTGGAAAACCTTTAGCAGAACGTTGCTGGGGAGGGATGAGTCTCACTGCCTGATACAATAAAAGCTTCCTTTTGAAGCGCTGTGTAAGGAAAGGGAAGCGCCGCTGGAGCTCAGGCCAAACTTCCTGCCTTGCTCAAAGCTTCCCAAAGCGTATCTGCAGCAGCAGCATCCTGTTGAGGAGCGGAGGGAAGAGCAGCTGCAGCTCAAAATCAGTCTCAAGTGGGGGTTCTCCCCCTCCCCATCTCTATTCTTAGCTCATCTCCAAATCCCTGGGTGCAGGTCATGCCAGGTGTAGCTGCATGGGAGCTTTGGGTAGCTGCAAGGCTAATGTTCCCACTTCACCATGTTCCCCCGGCTGTGCTGATGGAGCTGGTTGTGGGGCCGTGCCTGGTTTGCTGCTGTGATCCTCCTCTAAAATACCTCCCTGTCATCCCCCAGACACATGTGGAGTTTGCAGGTCCTCTAAAGGAGTTGGGTGGAGATGCCTGGCTAAGGAAGATCATTCCCCACTGTCAGAGAGCTGTGCTTCCCTCAATGAAAACACAGCCCTTTTACTCTTCTGTCATCAGATTTCACTTGTAGGTTGTGAATTAAACTGTAACGTGATCTCCGGCGGTCAGAAAATTGGCCCTTAGGATGTCAGCTTATAGTCTTAAGTCTTTTAATTAAAGGACTGAGGCCTTCCTCCAGTTCTGTGCCAAAATAGCACTGCCACAAGCTGAGCCCTTGCACTGGAGCGTGTGCTGCTGCCAGGACGTCTCCTGGGGACAAGGGCTGTGCTTTGTCCTGGATTCCTGTTTGTGCTCTGTTAAAACCCATCTCTTGAACCTAAAGCAATAACCTCTGGAATACACACGTAGGGAATTGTAAGAGGAAGGGGGAAAGCCCAGTCTCTGTGGGGAAAGATGGGATTGTTTTCCAGTTAGTGATTGGAATTTAACAGAAACCAAATAAATCTGGAGCGTAGCAGCCAGGCTTGGGGAAGAAAAACCATGGTCGTGGCAGCTTTGTAGCCAGAGCAACAGGCAAACATAAAGCGAGCTCGTAGATGACAGCCAAGGGTTTGCTTTTCCTGAGCTTTATCTCCCAGGCTCGATTTCTCCACAGCCAAGTCAAGCATCCATGTGCCCTTTGACTTACAGCTTAAATTCCTCCCAAGCCAGAGCCCGGCGCTGCGGTGTTTTGGCTCACATGGAAACCAGGATCAGGTCTGCAGCATGCAGCCAGTGATGGACGTTCTTTCACTTCATTTGTTCTTGAGTTGTCATGGGTCGGCTCCAAGTGGAGCTGAGCCCAGACCTCCCTGGAACAGCGGGTGGGCCATGGGGATGGCGTAGGAGGCAAGAGGAGGGGGTTGGAGATGGGGGTTAAAGCATGGCTGGGATGGCATAACAGCAGCTCTAACACAGGCTGATGGCTTCAAGCGCCCTTTCTCTCATTCTTCTCCCTCTTCTTGCATTGCAGAGAAGAGAAAATGACAGCAGCCCGGATTCGAAAGTGCCACAAGTGTGGCACCAGCCTCATTAAATCGGAGGGTTGCAACCGCATGTCCTGCCGCTGCGGTGCTCAGATGTGCTACCTCTGCCGGGTTGCCATTAACGGGTACGACCACTTCTGCCAACACCTCCGCTCTCCTGGCGTTCCCTGCCATGACTGTGACAAGTGCTCGCTCTGGACAGATCCCACAGTAAGTAACAGAGGACTTTTGTGAATGCTTTTTCACCCCGATCCCAGTTCCTGCTCCATGCCAGCGTGTTGAAGTCCATGCTTTCCACCAGAGGAAGAGGGTTGGCTTTAGACAGCCCAACGTTTTTCCTCTCCCAAGGCAGCTAAAAAACACACTGGAGAAGCCTACATCAGCACAGAGGCACATCTGACCGCAACTTGGAAGGGAGTGTTGCTGCTTTATGGAAAAACAGCTCCTGTTAGACAAGGGGTTTGGCTGGAAGTGCTTTGAGCGTTGTTCAGGGGCTTGTGGAAAGAGCTGTGTGCTGGCACCAGGCACAGTAGCCGGCATCGGGATCATTTGAACTCATTTTGCAGCTGAGATGCTGTTTGGTACGGCTTTGCATCTGGAGGCAAGGAGGGGGTTGTGTCTTTTTGCTGCCCAGATCATCCAGCTGCTGGCTCTGCAAATCCCTGTGCAGAGATGGACCCATAGAGAAAACTGCCTGGAAGCCAACAATGAGGAGTTAGAGCTGGGTCTGTTCTCATGGCTGCTGTCAACAGCTGCAGAGAGAGAGCTGAAGCACAGACTGAGCTCTGAGGGAAGCTGCAGTAACTTAATACAGCTTGTGGCTGTGACGAGCATGGGAAAACTTAGTGCAGTGTCTCTGTAAATAGAGGTCTTCAATAGCAGAAGCCCAGGAGTGTAGGTAGGGGCAGGAGTTGAATTTCCTGGTGTCAACAAAGCGGTAGAGCGGTGTGAATTGTGGATCTGCCTTCCCAGGGCTCATCTGAGCTTTGTTGTTCCCAACACTTCTTTGTCTCGGGCTGCTGCAGCTGCCAGACTGCTCCCAGCCCCTCTTTCTGCAGGGAATGTGCACAATCCCGTGCTTGCACAAAGGCAAGGAAAAGCCACGCTAAATCTCTCCCTTCTATCCGCAGGCTCTTGGGGATTTCCCAGCAGTGTCACAACCAACTTCCCAATCCTTTGCTCGCCTGCTTTATCCTATCAGTGCGAGGTGTTAAACCAAACACAGACATCTCTTTCTTAGACAGCCCTGTAGCGTTCCTGGCACCTGGATATGCACTCCTCACATTCCTGTCCCACTCCTCCTCGTTTTCCACCGGGATGTGATTCAGGGCTCGGCAACGCTGGCATCCTTTGTTCCCATCAGGCTGCTGATTGTGCTGGGTGCTGGCACTTGTTCAGAGCCAGAGAAAACATGAGGCCTCTCCAAAGACCCCTACTGTACTTCAAAATAAATAAATAAATAGGCAGCACAAAGAGGACGCTGTCACCAGGCCCTTGCCAGCTCTCTAATGAACCAATGTTGTGGCAAAGAAACTTTCCCACTGTAAGCAAAGAGCTGTTATGTCATTGTTACTGCTTTTCCTTTTGGCTGATTGAGTGCTGGAGGTTGGGGAGGTGAAGTTGGGTGATTCTCCTCGCTGCAAAGTATAATGTGAAACTCAAGCATTGGCTTTTGAGGTTCAAGTGATGGAGACCTGTGTGCGTTTATCCCCCTTTGTGAGGGGCTTACTGACACTAACCCAATCCCACCTGGGTGATCTGCGCGCTCAGATGGGACACGGGAACTGGGATTAATGTGGTAGGTGTGAAGAGGGGGGATGAATTTGAATCTTGACATGGGGATATGGAAGAGGCCATAGAGAGAATGGGTTGTCCTATGTCAGGGACGATGACGATGTTTTGCTGGCTGCTGCATTGGCATCTTCTTGCACCTTTCTCAACTCCTCTGTTTCCTCTTTTGGCTCAATTTCTTCTATTCTGTTGAAATCAGTAGACAGCTGATGCTGTATATATAGGAGGAGAGTATCTGCCGTGAGCTTGCACATGTTTGCAGCCGCACATGTGAGTACAGAGAAGATGGGTTGTCTCATGGCCTGTGAAGCTGCAGCCCGTCACTAAGGAGCAGCCACTCCTGTCCCGGGACTAGGTTCTGCTGCAGCATGGGGAGGACACAGGTGGGGCACCAAAGCCTGGCTTCCAGAGGGTGACAGGATGTTTTTGTTCTGATTTCTGATAGACTTATGCACAGCCTTAACTTAGAACCATCTTCACAGCAGACCGGTGCCATGGTCACGGTAACACGGTCTTGTCTGTTCACGTTTCATTGGTGTAAGAGCCTTCTGTCACACCTGGATGATTTCATACCTTTGTGAAGGATCTGGTTTGGGTCTCACTCCCCATTACTTAAAGCAAAATTCATTTTTAAGTAGGGAACCTTTGTTCTTTTCCAAGTGCTTAACGTTTTCTGAGGCTGAAATGACTCTTGCGAAAGTATAGGTGAACCTATTCATTAACTCGGGCTAAAACCAGATTAAAGACAGCCCTCTAGGAACTGCAGCATCTGTAAGTCTTTGTCTCAAATGATCTGGAGAGAATAAAGCCGACAGCATTTCCCATCAGAAAAGGTTGGTTAAAACCTTGTGCCTGCATTGCCATGAGGCTGGAGTCTGATTTAAAAGCAGTGGTGCAACATTTGCCTGCTCAGAGACAAGCTGCAATCGGGCTGCGGTCAGCAGCTTCCAGGGTTGCAGGCAGTAATCACTTAATCACTGCATTTCTTCTGGAGCTCCTCCATGCCCTGCACCCCTGTAGGATATGAACACGGGCCAGGAGCTCTTCTCACTTGGCCAGAACTCATGTTCCTCTCTTGCAAAGCCCATGCTCACTCTGAGACGTTGCTGGCTGCTGCAGGGGCTGATGCAATATTGCCAGAGACACAGCTCGGGATGGAGCAGTGGGAATTGGCTCTGGGACTCGGGGCTGTGATTTCCCTCCTCTCAAAATCCCCATAGCAAAGCTTTGTGTGTTTTCACGGGTAGGTACAAATCCTGTGGTGCCGTTTGACTAATGCGTTCTGCCTGGTTTGGTAAACCAGGTGCTGCTCTCATGTGTGTTCATTTCATACTCCTCTTTGGGCTATCAGTGTATTACATAGCAGCTTGCTTTTGGCTTTGAACTTTAAGATGTTTTCAGTAAACTCTTCAAACGCTCCCAAAGGCCCATCGTTAAAGTTCAAAGCAGGAGACTAATCATTCTAAGGTGTTTGCAATTACTCCTCCTTCTAGCATTATAAAAAGAAGATGGTGAGCGAAGACTGTGTAAAACTTCAAATGCATTAAGGTAATGCATGAAGGACACACCGCTGCCTTTAGGATTTGGAGGGGGGGAAAAAACACCCCTAAACCCTTCTTTTTTAACATCCTATAAAATGCCTTAATCATAAGCCTACAGTTAATTCAGGCTGTTCACAGAAAGCCATCAATAGGGAATGCCTGTTGCTAAAATAACTCTGCATGTCTTAAACGCCAGCGTGTGCTTCATCCCCATCCTGGCCCCCCTTTTCCTGCAGCACTGCGGATGCCCTGTTCCAGTTACAACACAGCCTGCTTTTATCCCCTGCTTCCTGCTGCATGGAGGAACATGCCGGAGACAGCCGATGCCTGTTCTTGCTCAGGATCTCCGCAGCTGATCTGGGAATGATTTGCAGTAAAACCCCTTTAGTCCTTTGGAAGCCTGCGTCGTGAAAGAAATCGGTTCACGTTTATTAGGAACGGCTGCAGCCACACATCCGTGGAAAAAGCAAGCTGCAAAGAGCCACAAAGGGGGAGACATGGTGGTGGGGGCACTCTCTGCAGACAGGGGAGGGGTTGTGCAGCCCAGGAATAGCTCCCAGGTCTCTTGTTTTCCCTGGTTCAGGAGGCGGGCAGCAGCTTTCCTCTGGCTCTTCATAATTACAGATAAGGAGAGCTTTCAGAAGCTCCCCGGATGGCACTTTTGTTCAGGGCAGAGGAGGGTTTGTTTGGGGGAGGTTGTGTCTGTGTGATCTGCAGAGCTTTTATCTCCTTTGCTGCTGTATTTCCCTGTTCTGGTGGGCTGTTTGTTTCTCCAGCAGCTCTTTTCTCTGTGCGTGCAGGGCCCTGCGTGGATGCTGGATGCGGCATTGTTGAAACAGGCCATGAAAAGGTGCCTCGCTTAGCAACCCAGCCCAGCTCTTTAGTTAATCCAGCCACAGACCCGAGCCACCCTTTCTGCTGTGATTGGCTCCGTGCTCACTGCATTCCCTGGATTCAATGGGAGAGGGATGAAAGGAAAAGCCTTCTCCGGGCCGAGACCCTTTTGCGGCTTTGGGATCGTAAGGGCAGGCTCTCAGGGATGAACACTGGTGGTTTTGGCTGCAGGATTGGGGCTGGTTCCTGCAAAGAGCATTCCACCATCAGCTTTGGAGCAAAGCAGGGTCCTGTTTTGCCACTTTAAAATGCAGCTGCTCTTCATAACCACGGTTGCTTTCTGCGGTGTTTGCAGATAAGAAGGGTGAATACATCTCAGATCCTTTGCATTTTCCTCTTGGCCACCTCCCTTCTCCCGTGATGCAACAGAGGATGGGGAAGGGCCACGTTATAGCATTGCCCTGTGTGTTTTCTCTCAGGAGGAGAGGCAAGCAACATCCTTGCTCCAAATCCATGCAGGCTGAGACCCAGCAGGGCTTGGGGGTTGCTTTTAGTCTTTTATCTTCCTTTGTTGCTGTAGGCAGGGCAGCTGACAGGAAGATGACTGTTACCGTGACAAGATCAGTCCCTTCAATCCATGCAGCCAGTGAACAGGCTATTAGAATCATAATCTAATCCTTTATTAAGGGACTTGAAGCCACTCAGGCAAATGGACACAAGAGGCTTTTTGAGCTTGTGCTGCAGCCTCCACCCCATGTGACATGAAACGGGGTTTTCACCACAAAAGCTATCCCTAAGTGTGCTAATGAAAGCTTACTTTTTGGTGTGGATGCTTTACCCCTAGATGAATCTGTCACCTCCCTCCGGTTACTGTGCAATCAAACCCCTGCTTTTGCTTCTCATAGATTCTCTTTGATGGAATAAGCAGAACTTGTGGCACCGGTTTTCCTTCACAAATACCCTAAAACTGTCTTGCTGTGCACATTGCTTTTAATGTTGGTCCGTTCGGGATGTGGATCTTTCCTCAATATTGCCCGTATTGAACTGAGCTCTGTATCCAGGACTTGCCAAGTGTAATGTCAGCTGCTTGGGTAGGAAGGTGCATGTTGTGCAGGGTGTTTTTCCTCTTTCCCTATTAATGGATACTGGTGCTTCAGGAATCATGAGGCAAAGAAAAATTCAAAGCCAAGGTTCAGTGTGTGGGATTGAATGGAAATACCTTCACCTTCCAGTGTGAGAATATGCTTTTATCAGCAGAGAAGCAACAAAGGTGTCCTTGGAGAGGAGCTCTTCATTCAGGGGCTGTGATGATAGAACAAGGGGTAATGGGTTCAATCAAAACAGGGGAGAAATAGGTTGGATATAAGGAAGTTCTGCCCTGTGAGGGTGCTGAGGCGCTGGCACAGGGTGCCCAGAGAAGCTGTGGCTGCCCCATCCCTGGCAGTGCTCAAGGCCAGGTTGGAGCAAGCTGCTCTAGTGGAAGGCGACCCTGCCTGTGGCAGGGGTTGGAGCTGGATGAGCTTTAAGGTCCTTTCTAACCCAAACCATGCTATGATTCCATTTAGTTTGTTCTATCTCTGCTGGGATTTACAGTCACGGAAGTGGTCAGCAGCTTGTCATCCTGATTTGGGTCTGGTTTTGGCACGTTTTTTTGCATCTAGGGGGTGTGCTGTAAGATGTACCCCCTCTTGAAGACCAAGAAGGGATATGGATCTCTGGCCTCTGTGTTTGAAGTGATGTGGTTTATGTTGTCCTTGCAAGGTAGACGTCATTGTGGAGCTCTGGCAGATGGGCTTTGCTGGTCTGCAGTTCCCTGTTGCCCTGGGAGCTGCAGTAATTGAAGCCTGCATCACCTTGGTGTGCGTGCAGCTGGCTCTCCAGCCCTGGGGGCACATGGCTTTGTGGATCCTCATTAGTGTGGAGGTCAGCTGCAGTTTAAACAGGGAGGGTTGAGTAGCCCTCGCTGCAGGAGGATCTTGTTGTGTTTGATGTGTCCTGTTCCCCTGATGTCAACAGGGACCCACCGGTACCAACAGCGGCGTTTGCAGGAGCTGCAGCATCACAGGGAGTGGTGTCAGGATGGGGTGTCCCTGGAAAGCACCATTTCAGAGGGTGAATCACAGGCTTGAAGTAAAAGCTTTTCTTTTTAAGTTAGGAGGGACTTCTGCATGTTTCTAAGCTTTAAGGTGAGGTTTATGCCTTTGTGTGAGGGATGGAGATCGGTGGTCTTGTTCAGTTGAGCTTAACATATGTTTCTTGTCCTATAACTAACAAAAACCATTCAGGTAAGTCTTTTCCAGTAAGTGGCAATGAAATGGGAGACATGGCTCTCTCCATTGTCAACAGCATTGCAAAATACGTTCTGAGAACAACAGGCAGCAAAGGAGCAGAGGATGTTTGGTGCTTATTGCAGAGCATGCCCACATTCTTTTCCAGCCAGGGAACATCGCAGTCTGAAGCTTGGGATGTAATTAGAAGTTCTGTATAGGCTCAGAAGAGCCATTCTTCAGCAGTTTTTATGGAGATAGATAGGCTGTAATTAACAGTCCATGGAAGCAGCCTGCTTGGGAAAGAAAAAAGCATGTCCTGGAACGTCTTCATTTTAACTGTTGACTCACAGAAGAATAAGAGGGAGGCAAGTATGGAGTTGGATGGTTTTCTGCAGATTAAGATAACTTCAGTCTCCCAGGGAAACCTTATCTGGAGGCTGGAGAAGGGCACATCTTAGCAAGCTTCCCATGCTAGACACGTGCAGGACCGTGAGATTGGAACTGGGAAGCTGGCTAGACTTAAAATAGCTTCATTGTAGCTGCACACATGAAGCGGATTTCGAGTTGAGTTCCAGCACTCTTTAAAATAGAGGCTATTTTCCACATTAGGAGTGTTCAGGATGAAATGTATGGGGTTTGGCAGAGCTGAAATGAGGATGGATAGACTGAGGCAGAGTCTTGTGTGTGGTGGGGTGCTTGGGGTTTGGGTTTCCCTCCTGCTCCACTGATGGCTTGCAAGCGCTAAGTGCTCCTTAGCACCAGAGCATCTGAGTGCCTGATGCGGGTGCTGTGTGTCAGCAGCAGCTCCTGTTCTTGGCCTTCTTCCCTAATAACTAACATTAAGAGCACAAACACTGTCCAGGCAGCTTAGCTATTCCCATTTGTTTCCTGAAAGTGCCAGGTAATGTTTCATCCCAATGGACACGAAGCAGCAGCAGATGCAACCCTGCAGAGACCAGGGGGACCTCTGTTGCCATCGCTGCACATATGGCCAGCAGAAGCATCTGCTGCCTGGCACTGAAAGGGAGTTGTCTCTTGAGTTGTTGGGTGTGATCTTTGTTACCCTTGATAGCTGTTGCATGCTGTGGTGCAGTGAAGAAACTCATTTTTCACCCCTCTTCTTGGGAGCAGAGAGTTAATAGCTCAGGAGTTGCACAGCCTTCTTCCAGGACTCTGTGCATCCCTTGACCTAGTCAATGGTGGCATAAATGCCATCCTTCTTAGCTACCTGAAGCTCCTCTGCATTATTTGATCTCTGTGCTGCTCCTTTGGGTTGGGACAACCAAAGGTGACAAGAAGCAGAATGACGCTTTCCACTTCTGGCTTGTCCTTGTGTTCTTGGTGAGCAGCGGGTCTGAATATACTTCTTATAACCTCTAGATAGACATTAAAGAAACATACTGGGATTTATGCCCTCCTCAGAGTTACAGATAAGATCTAAATGGCCTCGGCACAGTAGTTTAGCTACCAGAGCCAGGATTTAAGTTGTGTTAATTCCAGCTGTTGGGCCAAAAGCTCTGGAAGTGCCAGGGTAATGTAAATATTTAATAGCCTATTGCCATTTAAAAGATTAACAGCTCTTCAGCAATGCTTCACATGGGAGGAGCTGGGTTGCACTCCTCTGGTTCCATGCAGGAGATGGATTTTAGCACCCATCTCCCAGGAAAACTGATCTTAAGCCTCTTAGTGCTACTCTGTAGAGGAGGCTTAGCTCTGCTGCAGTCCCCCTTCACAGCCTTGCTTTGGATTAAATCTAAGTCAACCCCAAATGGGGACAATTCAGCTGAATTCACCTTTTATTTCCTCCTGCAAACGTGCTGAAAAGAAAAGCAGTGTTGAGAGGACAGAGGTTCCTGCAGCAGGAATTAACCCACGGACTCTTGTATTCCTAGGAAGACGATGAGAAGATAATCCAGGAGATTCAGAAAGAGGCCGAAGAGGAGCAGAGGAAGAAAAATGGAGGTAAGTCAGTCTGTACCCGTGCTTTGACATCAAGCTGAGGGCAATGGGGGAGCCTAGATCCTAGCTCCTGACAAGTCTGGACCTTCACTGGGTTCTCCCCACAGCCTGGCTGTCTGCAGGCTCCTCCATGCATTCTGTGCTGTGCCAAGCATCACCCAAAACACTGCTCCAGAGAGGGGTGCAAGCCATCACCCTGGCAACCTGTCTGGCTTTAAAGCACTGCTGCCTACAGGCTTTTGCTGTGCCAGTGGGGAGGCACAAGGCTTGTGTCCAGCTCCCTTGGTGCTGGGTGTGATGGATGCACAGCCTTGTCTCCCCTCCACTTGGGCAAGTAGCTGAAGGGCAGCACAACCTTAGTGGTGTGGTGAAAGGAGCCAAACTGGAAAGCTGTGCCTGCAGCATGGAAGGGGCAAGCAGTGATGCTGTAGAGCGTGCTTAAGGAGCGTGCAGGGATGGAGGATGCTGACTGCAAATGCAAGACTTGTTTGTGGTGTGACTGGTTCTTGTCTCTCTCCCCTCTGCAGAGAAGAGCTTCAAGCGGATCGGCCCTCCTGTAGAAAAGCCCGTGGAGAAAATCCAGAGGATTGAAGTCATCCCCAGACCCGTTCCTCAGAACCTCCATCAGCCCCGGATGTGCCCCTACCCCTTCATGCACCCTCCTTTCCAGCTCCCTCCCGTCCGCCCCCTGTACAATAACATCCCGCTCCACATCCGCCCTGTCCCTGCTCCCTACGTGCCCCCATTACCCAACATGAGGGTGAACTTTGACTTCCCCCAGATCAATGCTCGGCGGGAGCACAACTTGCCTATGCACTTTGGCCCTCAGCCTCGCCAGCAGTTCTGACCTGCTTCAAACAGCACTTGACATAGTCACTGCAGGGCAAAGCCGCCCTATAACATCACCCCCCTTCCTTCTCCAGCTCCTCTTGGATTATCCAGCTGCCAGGGGACCCCTGAGTCGCCTGTCTTTGCACTGTATCCCTCTCTAGAGCTTCTCTGAACCTTTGCAGTTCCAACCTGTGCTGCAACAGGCCTTGGTGCTGCATTTCCCAAGGGATCTCTCCCTGTGCTGGGCATCCGGGTGATTGTGATTTGACAAAGCCTCTTCAGGCAGCTGTTGGGAGGGGAAGTGACACTTTGTGGAGCGCAGGGATGCAGCCATTCCTTGGGGACTTCCCAAATATCCTTCTTTCCTGCTGGCTGGAGCAGCTGCTGCGCAAAGTGAGGCTGGGGGTAAAGAGGGAGACTGCATCTGAGTAAGACCTACAGGAGCTGGCTGCCCTTCTGCCTGCACAAGGCTGATGTTCCCATGTTCTCCAGCATCCCTGTAACCCGCCAGCACCTCCCAACAGAAACACACTTCTCCATACCAAGTCAGTGAAGTGTTTTTAGCACTCTCACTCTCTAAGCAGGGTAATGGGATGCAGGAGCCCTCTCACTGCTGAGGTCTCACTGGGAAGCCCAGAGCCATGTTCTGTCTTGGGGCTTTAGCAAGCAGCACAAGACTCAGGCGCCCTGATCTTTGGCTGAACTGAACTTGCTCCCTTGAAAGGACTTTTATCCCCATGGGAGCGTGGCTCAGCTTCCAAAACGTGGCCTTTGCTTTGCTGTTCCCATCTGAGAGCCCAAACCTCCCCCTGCTTCTGGCCATGGTTCCCAAACAGCTCTCAAAGCACCCAGCGCCAAGCTGTGCCCATCGTAGCAAAAACTGCTTGGGTTAAGACCCTGTTAGATGCAGGAAAACTGGGAATTACCCTTGCAGTGGTGCATGCACTGCAGCTCTGTGTTGCAGGAAGCTGGCTGCTTCCATGGCACATGGGATCTCCTGGCAGGGTGTGCTTCAGCCTGATCAGTTTGGGAACAGCAGTGAGTATTGCTGGGGTTAGGAGCAGCAAAGCTTCCCTATGAGGAGCAAGGGGTGTAGGTGCTGGGCTGCAGGAGGAGCTTTGGCACAAAGCCCTTTCCTCACCTCTCTTTGGGTGCTCTGTCTGGTAGGGGTCCCCTCTAGGACAGAAAAGGGTTGGAAATGCTGGGCTAGCTTTCAGCATCCCATTGGTGCTGCCATTGCCTGGGTGGTTTGCTCTGGGCTTCATCCTGCTGGGAACCCTCTGGGTGCCCTTCCCGTTATTCCCTGCTGTATTTGAGCATCTGTCTTCCAGTTTCATTTGGGTTTCCTAGGTAAAACTCCCTTCCTCCATCCCGCAGCTTCTGCCCACCCCTTGCTTGCAGCTCCATGTAACTGCTTCATGCACAGCATCCCCTTGGGGAGTGCAGCAAGTGGTGGGCTCAGGGCTGTCAGTGGGATGCTCCTGCCTTAAGGCAGCGCCTGGGACAGCATCTGGAGACAGTTGTCCCCAGCAGGCTCTCCCAAAGGGAATTCCCATGCCTTTTGGAGCTGAGTCAGCAATTTTTCCCCTCTTGGGCATTGCCCATGGGTTGGACATACCCTGTGGGGTGCTCTGTTCCAGCTCTTGTGCCATGGTCTCTCTAGCATTAAGAACCAGGTGGTGTTCCCTTGCTGCTATCAGCTCTTCTTATCATTCTCATCTTACTGCTCAGCTGGGGTTTGGCCAGCTTTGCACCGAGTGATTCCTGTGGTAGCCAGGAGCAGCATCCCATTGGATTTGGGGCAGCAGGGCTGTGTTCACAGCATTAAGAAGTGGTGAGAAGATGGACCCAGGACAGGAGAAGAATGGGTGCTTTCCCCTTCCAGGAAGGAAATCCTGACTTGTCTCATAGCTGGGATTCTGTGTGCTCAAGTCTTGCATGAGCCTTTCAGGCTTCCCAAAGCATGTTCCCTCCTGCAGCAGGGTGGTTGGGGTTGTCCGGTAATACCCACCCGTGCAAAGTGGGGGGATCCTTTGGGGTGTATCTGCGGATGTGTGGGCATCAGGAGTAAAGCCTTGGCCCAGGGATGGAGAAGCATCGGGCAGAGGTGGGAAGTGTCTGTGGTCCATCCTTGTGGATGGGACGTGAGGGTCCTCTGCTGCTGTGGCACAAGCATCATGGACCTGGAGTTGATGGATGTAAAGGGAGGAAGCCTTGAGCTGGTCTGTGTCTGAGAGATGACTCAGTGTTTGGTGTCTGCTGCAGAGCTTTCTCATAGGGCTTGTGTTGGTTTATATACAAACAGGAAGGGAAATAACCCCAAACCTTACTGCACCCCCCCCACATCCCTCCTGATCTGGTCTCCATCTCCTCCACCCCATTTCCCTCCTGCCCTGCAGTCCTTGAAGCCATCCATCCTCCCCAGGGTGGCAGGGAGGTCGCTGTGCCCATAACAGGTACTTCTGGTTATAACTGCAGTGTTCCGTTTCACTTGCCTTAAAGGTGGGAGAAGAGAAACTTTAGTATTTGCACTTAGCAAAACGTTCTGTTGACAGAAAGAAGCCCTGTAAAGATGTGCATGTTCTGCCACTTTGTATAACAATAGCTGAAAAGAAATAGGTGTTTTATTAAAGAAACCAACCCAAACAAGGGGTATTTTTCTTTACCTTCTGGTAGTTAGAACCATTCTAATATCCAGTGTGTAAAAAGTTCCTGTCTTATATTGTAATTTGAATTATTTTGTAAATAAATTTGTGCACTCTGACTTTTACCCTCTGTGCTTTTTATTCCAGCATCCTCATCATCATCATCATCATCATCACCATCATCCCGACTGTGCCAGCTTGATGCTGGGGCTAATGGCAGGCAGCGGAGCAGGCAGGGCTGTTGTGCTTGAAACCTCTCTTAAGTCACAAGGCAAAACCCATTGGACCCTCCAGGAAAAGCTTAATATATTCCACATGCTCCCGAGGAAAAAGTGCATGGGATAGAAAATGGTTTCCAGGCACTCCTTTAAATGGAAACCAGGATGTGTGTGTTGGGGTGGGGGGGAGGAAACAGGGGGGCTTTTCCCCCCCATGCTTGGAAGCAAAGGGGAATGTGTTGGTTGAGCAGGGAGAAGGGAAGGCTGAGGGGCCTCCTGCCCAGGCTGGGTGTCACAGCCCATGGGTGTCCCAGCCAGGTTCATTCGTGCCCATGTGGATGTCCCTGGGGGTGAAGGTGGTGATGGGAGCTGCTCCGTGTTTCCTGCTCTCATTCCACCCTGTTTAGGGTAAGGAATGAACATCCTTCCTCTGCTCCACCCCTGCTCTGGTGCTTGAACCCCTGCCTGAAGTTGAAGGTCCCTGCAGGCAATGCCCTTCCCGCTGGGCCCATTGGGATGTGTGTTTAGGGGGGAGCTGGGCACCCCCTCCTTCCCCAAATCTTGCTTTTCCCAAACCAGCTTTAGATGGGTGCAAACCAAACAGGAGCCCATCAGTGGTCCTGAGCCTGCTGCAGGAGATGAAGGGCAGCAAAGGAGCTGTCTGCTCATGGCACAGGTGATGGAGCTGATCCCCAGCCCCTCCATAAGCATGTGCTGCACCCCATCTTCACAGCCAAAACTGAGCTTGGCCCCAGCATCAAACCTGAGAGGGCTGGTTGAGTTTTAGGGCTGGTTTTGACTGTCCCAAGAGGGCTGGGGGTGCATCCTGGCCATCCCAGCTCCATTTGGATGCTGTGTTTCAGCCTGGGCTGCAGTGGATGGGCTTCCCACCTCCTTCCAGCCTGAGATCTCTTAGATCTTTTTCTATCTCCCCCTTCTCCATCCCTCCAAGCAAAGGAGGAGAGGTCTTACCGCTTCCTCCACCATGCCATGCATCCAAAACCAGCATCCCACTGCTCTTCCCTCCCAGCAGGTGCCTCCCCCTTAGGGCCATCATATGGTGGGGGGGAAATACCTGAACCAGAGGGAGAAAAAGCAGCTCCTTCCCAGCACTGCCATGCTGAAGGGTCTCAGCATCACTGCTGGCTGCAGGGGCAGCTGGTTCGCTGGTGTCTGTCCCCAAGCCAGGCAGAGGTCACTAAGGCACACAGGGGCTTGATGGCTTGGGGTTGCTCTGAGCATCTTGGGATGCGACCCAGCCTCAGCCAGCTTTGGCTGTCACAGAATGGTTTGGGTTGAAGGGACCTTAAAGCTCCTCCAGCTCCAAGCAGGGACCCCTTCCACTGGAGCAGCTTGCTCCAAGCCCTGTGTCCAACCTGGCCTTGAGCACTGCCAGGGATGGGGCAGCCACAGCTTCTCTGGGTACCCTGTGCCAGCACCTCCTAATGTCTAATGTAAATCTTCTCCCTTTCACCTTAAAGCCATCCCCCCCTTGGCTTACCCATCACATAGCCCATGGTCAGCCCTTAGTTGTGGTGCATTTCCTGGCCAGGTAAGAATCCCCTTTGAGCTGCTTGGTGGGGATGAGCCCTTTGGCCCCCATTCCCTTCCCTCTAGAGCCAGCTCAATCACAGCAAGGCAATCTGTCCCCCAGATACTCCACGCTCATGCCCATGCCATGCAAAGGCCATTGCAGCTGCAGGCACAGCCACCAGACACACCAGGCAGCTCTGTTTGTATCCGAATGCAGGTTTTATTTTTACTCATCTTTCTCCATTTGAAGCTCATTTATTTATTATTTTTTTTTAAGTTATACAAATGGCACTTACAAAAAAATAATAATTAAAAAAAAAAACCAAAACAACCCCAAGATAAAACCCAAACCTTAACTTTTCAGAGTGAGATGCTTGTCAGAGAGTCACGACACCCGCTACGAGGAGACAGGAGAGATGCTTGACCTAGTGTCACACAGAAGAAGCCAGAGCAGGATTTACACGGTTCGAACTGCAACAAGGGGACAGGGAGGAGGTGACATAGGGCAAAGAGGGGGGGGTGAAGGCCAGCAGAAAGTGTGTGCCAAGTCATAGGGCTTCATCAAGACACTCGGTCCTTCGAGGGGCAGAGCGGTGCCCGGGTGGGCGCAGAGCCGAGGTAGTATCCCAATGGGATCCCCTGCACCGGAGAGGGACCCCGGCCTGGGGTTGTCCCCATGGCAGGGGACAGGCCCCTCGCTCTGCCAGCTGAGAGGATAGCACCAAGCTCCTAGGGAGGGGTTTCCACCCTCCCCATGGCTTTAAGGCTGAGGAGCCCCTGCCTTGCCTCCGGCGATGGGGACCGGTGATGGTGATTTTGGCACGGCAGCGATGCCACGAGCACCCTTGGTGTGGGGAGGGGGGGACGAAAAAAGGCTCCTTGGTGTGTTTGCAGGGAGCAAATACCGGCCCCGGGAAGGCCCCAAAGGATAAAGTGCCTTTCAACACCCTAACGGACACGTCAGCATCACCCGTTACAAACAGCGTTATACTCTAATGCAGACCTAGTACAGAGAACAGCTGGTAACACAGTGCCATGGAGAG